ATGGAAAGGCTTCAGTCCTGTGATCAGCGCCTCCCTCTTTCCTGATCTGCTGGCACACACGTGCGTTGCCTCTGCATTCCTGTTCCCATACTGTACACTGTTCCCACTCATACTGTTCTCAGCTTTTTGCCGCCTGATCCCAGTTCAGGAAGGGGGTCGGCAGTGCTGGTGTGAGTTGCTTCCACCATAGATAGAGGATGTTTAAGTGCCATGTGCTCTGCTTTGCTTTTGTCTCTAAACTTCTGGTGTGCTTTGCAGGGAGTGAAAAACAGAGCGGAGACCTTTGGTTTTCTGTTCATTTAAAGTTGTGCCAAATGACACATTTGGGAAGCAGTACTTGCAGCTGATGTGACTTTACAAGTATGACAATGCTTTACTTTTTTAAAAAAATCCCCAAAACACTAAAAGAAATAGGAATTGCAAGCTGGAAAGCCAGATCACGGCCTGAAAACAGACTTACTAAAAAGTCTCGGGAATTTATACTCATTACAAAAACTGAATAGGTTAATTTTAYGAGCATAAACAGTGGGCAAGATTGGGATCTACGACTACCTGGGTCCAAGACCTGGACATTGGGCCATGATTCAGACCCTATTCTGACAGGAATATTCTAATTTAGTAGAGATTCAGTTTTCTGTTTCCCTTTCCTATGTTTCCTATGTGACTTCTATGCATTTTGTTCATGTGAGACAGTTACCCTTGCCTTCCTTCTGTAAGTTAATTCTTGTTGTGGAACAAAAAAGTTTGTTCTCATCAAAAATATGCAAARGAATATACACAGTATGTCAGAGAAATGAATGAAAGGCATGTAGGCTGAAACTATTCTTATTTCATCCTGACTGGCCTTTATTGTTTAAAAGACTATGTAAAATATTCCCAGCAGACAGGACATTTGCGTGCTCTTTCTGGTCAGTATCTGACCTTTTCTCTTCAAAAGAAGGAAATGTTCACACTCATTCCTTTCACTCCTACACAGGCCCTTTGCAGGAGGGTGTGTTTGCATATCTGGTGAGTAAAGCCATGTGCAGTATATCTGGCAAAGTGTGAACTGAAAGTTTTATCAACAGTGCATATATTTTTCCAGGTTATATACCTTATTTCCAGCAAATGTAGCTGCTTCAGCATTACAGATAGAGATGGGACTGCCCTTCACTCTGCTAATCCTCAGCTGCTGTTTTTGGCCTCCTCAGAAACATGAKCAGCTGCCAACATTTATGAGACCTCCTGCACGTTCATGTTCACAGCGTGCGGCTGCTGTGAAGCTTGTGTTTTATTCAGCTGTTCTTGCACTTATCTGCAGTAGCAAGTTAGGGGTTTGGAGCTCTCCCAGCATTTGGTACAGTGCGATGGAGGGTGGTATGAAGTTTTGGCTAGCCCACTCCTGCTATGTAAAGCTCAAATGGTTGTCAGAAGAGGGTAGCATGCCTCTGGAGTAGACTTCTTCGCCTAATAAACCAATAACATGTATTAAAAGATTTTGATTTATGGAATGCAACTGCCTGTAAAAATAGAAAATGAAAGAAGGAAAGAAGGAGTGCTTTTTTATGTAATTTAATACTCATCAGATTCCTTATAATACAAATAAAATATAAAATTTAACCATTAATAAAGAAATAGTAGACTTTTCAAAGTATATCCCCCAAATTTATATCAAGCGGTGATTTCATAAGGGTGGCAACAAAATAATTTTTATGTGTGAATAACAGGAAAGGATTTGCAGCAGTGAGTTAGAAGTGAGGTGTTAGCTTCAGGCTTGTTTTAGATTCTGTGTCCTCTCATTCAGTACGTTAATTGGATTTTTGTCTTTTTTAACCCTTGGATTCATTACTTGAGATAACTGAATCTCTTGAAACTTAGCCAAAAAGTAACAAAGGAGCTTTTGAGGTTATTTAAACTCTTACTATTGGAATATTTATTGTGGTTAAATGTCATAATTTTGAGTTTTTATATGCTAATGTGATTTTTTTTTTGTCTGCATGAGAAGTCTTGGGCTTGTAAATGATACGTGCCATAAAAACATTACRATCATGTGATTTGACATTGTCAAAATCTGACGTACAACACAGATACCTGTATATTGCAATGTGACTGGGCTTGCATTTACCAGAGTCAATGAATAATTCTTTCCCGAATCTTTGACATCAATAATGATACAGTGTTTTATTGAATATGAAGGATTAATAAAAAAAGTTTTATAAATTTACTTCTGAAATTTTCAAATCRGTTTGCAACAATGCCAATTAATACCTTTTCAAAATTTACACTTTATTGCACTGCACTGCACAGCTTAATAGAATATGCTTTAAGAGCACGTGTTGTAAAATACTAAAATTCTGTCCCTTTTTTGAGTACATTTTTGCTTTGATGTTAAGGAATAGGATATAAGGCTTTTTTTATGTTGTGTGAGCAAATGAGTATGGTTGGTAATGAGTGGCAGTAGTAATTGGTTTGGTTTCATATGTATGTTCTTCGGATTGTGATTCTTCTAAATGAGTAGTTCAAACTGAAAAATGGACTGTAAAGTTTAGCATATTAGTGTATTCTAAGTTTAATACAACCTCTTCGGAAACACTGATCTGAAAAGCAAGAGAAGTGTTTATTCTGTTGCTTTCTATCTGCAGRTTAATCACACATACACAAAAAATCCAGCTTTTTGTGAAAAGGATAATGTTAATGAATGTTATTAAGATCTTTCTAATTTATGATCACTATGTGTGTTATGCACACTGGGATTTACTCTGGTGGAATAGAGGAGGCCTCAAAATCATAATTCGAGGTGACCTTTCTTTGGAGTAGTTACAGCTGTCCTCTGAATGGTAAGAAGCATGAAGAGTATATATAAATATATATATATAAAACTGACCTTGCATCTAAACATGTATAGGGAGGCCTATAGCCAGGATTCTCCGATTTGGGAGGTTTAAAATTAGGTCCTTTAATCCATAGTCTGCTACTAGGTGACCTGGTAGTACCTAGATCTGGTATCAGTTACTATGAAAATGTGATTTTCATGAAAGTGCCCTGTCCTGAGCATGGTAGACGCCAAAGCAGAAACCTGAACACTCTTGTCATTCAAGAAATGAACTTTTTTATCGTAACGTCTAGAAATTGTAATGTGGTATGGATAGTGCTGACTTCTCACAAAGGCAGGTATGGCTAACTTTTAATTATCTTTAAGCAGTGGCATAAGGCTGTACTTTTGCTTTCTAGCCAAATGGAGGGAAGGCAGATCTCAGAACAATGCTAGCAATTCCAATACAGTAAATCTTACTGCAGTGCTTAGTAGTGTTAACAGTAGTCACAGTGACATTTTCAAAAGAAAATACGAGAAGGAATCTGATCTCAAAGGGAGATTCCTTGGAACATATTGATGAATTATAGTGGAGTTAATATTTAAAATTTGAGGTTGGAATTGTGATCCAAGGTAAGCTGCGTATTTTGATGTATTGTAGCAAAAAAAAATTGCTGCGATGTAGCATTTTATGACCAGTAACATTATTACTTCTGTTTTGCCATATATCATGTATTTACAGTGGAGTGGTGTGTCTTTTCATTACAGTGAAAGCTGTGACTAATTTCACACTTTTCTGATTTCTGTTGGTTTTATTTGTTTGTTTCTGAGCTAATACATCTTTACAATCCATTGATTGTAATGAATCTTCTGAATCTTAATTTTTGTTACAGCTGTGAAATGAAATGAATCCTTAATGACTACATTTCTCTAYCTTGTATAGAGATCTGCTTCTAGAATCAAAGAGTTGGACTAGTTTGACTTATAGATACTATTTTGACATGAATTACCTGGGTTACCAACTGGACAAGTCATGTAAACTGGTTGTTGTAGTTTTAGATGGAATTCTGTATGTTCATGTTGCATTGGATTGGTCACTTGAGAAGAATGCAGAGATATTAGACATCACAAAACAAGGAGAACTTATTGTCATTCTATTATATATTACTACAGCACATGATGCTATGTGGGGCCTGTTTTTTTTTGCACATAGGTCACATCTGATGATGCTAATGAGTGTCAAACATGGGAGTACATTTGAAACTGTTTTCCAATGCCTGTTTCAAAGTCCCAGCTGTTTGCCAAGCTCTCCTTCCCTCCACTCCTCCCTGGTGAAAATTAGTAGCAGCAAGTGGATTCCAGTCACTGCTGTCTTTACATAGCAGTGTCCAAGGTTGATTTATTACTGAATCACTAGAGCTAGACTAGACTGTAAAAACCTGGTGAGTTTTGAGAGGAGAGAGTTCGAATTGAAATGAGGAACATAAGAAAGGAGCATACAAGAAGATGGAGAAAATGAGAGAGATTTGCCTGTAAGGTAAAAAGAGAAATTTGTAGGAGAGGGAGAGAAATACTAATACAAAGAGTGGAAAGGCGACTGGAAGAAAAGCTTGAGACATAAGGGGGCTTTTTACAGAGAAGGAACACTTACTTAGTTTCAGTCATATTTATCTCTCATAATGTGAAATTGCCTTTTCTTCTTTTGTCCTCTCTACCCTTAGCATGAGTTTATCATGATAAGCTGGTTTCTCTGTTTTTTCATGTCGTGCTATAATGAAAATTTTAAGCTTATCACTTTAACCTCATTCATGCAGATGTTACTTTTAATAATTATTATCAGCTGTGCCACAATTCTCACATAAGCAGAAGATACTTGCATCTGAAGTCTGATTACTGTTAGAAAATGTGCTATTGTGTTTTGTATGAGACCACCACAGTGACAGCTGCATCAGATACAGTTAATCGGGTCTGAGGGCTGGTGTACTGCGGTGCTGTAAAATAAAATGTTGCTTTCTTCTGAAGGTGATGAAACTTTCAGAAGGCTTTTCCACTTTTTGCTTGTTGTGTATCATCAAGTTTCAATAATCAAAATGATTGCAAAATGTTCTTTCCAAGCCCCTGCTAAATACTATTGGAAGGCTGGATTCTGTCACCAGGAAAATAGGAATTTAGGATCACATTTTTTTTTTTTTCTCTATCTATTTTTTAGGTATCCAGTTGCCAAAAGAGGATGAGATCTCAGTTCCTGTGATTTCCAGCTCCCCAATTAAGGAAACTGGGCAGAATGCTGATCTCACCAGTGAACAGGAGGAGAAGATGAAAGAGGAACCTTTAACCATCTCAGAACTGGTGTACAATCCAAGTGCCAGCTTGCTGCCCACCCCAGTCGATGATCAGATTGACATGCTCTTCGATACCTCTCCAAGAGCAGAGAATGAGAAAGATGATACAGATTCATTTGAGGAACTGGAAGCAGATGAAAATGCATTTTTGATCGCAGAGGAGGAAGAATTGAAGGAAGCTCGGAGAGCACTTAGGTGGAGTTATGAATTTCTAATGGGCAACATTGAGGTGAATGCTTTTGTGAAGAGTTTCTCCAGACTTCTTCTTGTTGGCCTTGGACTGTTGTTGTTTGTGTTTCCTCTTCTCCTTGTTCTCTTAGAGTCGGACCTTGAAATCTCATTTCTCCATGAAATCCGCCAGACACCAGAGTTCCAGCAGTTTCATATTGAATATTACTGCCCACTTAGACAGTGGCTGGCTTGCAAAGTAAACTTCATTCGTGAGATGCTGGGCARCTTTTAAATTTTAAAGAAATGCGATATAACTAAGGGCTATATTCAAAATTTCAGTTAGTGCCAGCTTTTCATAATACCTTCGGGGCCACCAATAAGTAGCTATCTTCATATTCAGTTTATTGCAGACATTCTTAAGTTTCCTTAACATATTTAAAGAGCTGCCTTAGTTATAGGCGTATATAGTCACCTTCAGTAACCAAAAAGAAACTTTTATTTTCATTGCATTTCAGACTTCTTGCTCATCTATTACATGATACTAAAGGGGATAATGTTATTCATATTCATCATTCATAACTTATAATCCATGACACTGCATCTAATAAAACTGAAAGAAAAATGCTTTTGAATATACTCCTTAGTGCAGCAGTCTCTTCTAACCAATGCCTATACAAGCAATGTTTATGCTGTTTTTTTTGTTCTTTGGTTTATTCTTCTGTTTGGATTTTTACAGTTTTATGTGTTTAAAAAATTTTGGTAAATTTTTAGCAAAACACAACTTCTGATGTTATTTAAATGTACAGATTGGTAAGAATTGCACAAGGGCATGTAGTGTATTTTTATGGTTTCAGTAGCGATTTGTTCTTATGCTGCTTTTGGCTAGAGAATGAATGGGGATTAATGTAGCTCTACACACAGGGGCAGTGGTTTGTGTATAGGAAGTTCACTCAAGTTCAGTGGGGGCTGCCTAGGGGAGTTGAAACGACACCAAGTAATCAAAAGATTTTCTGAATAGTACAGTTGCAAAGCTAGGGGATCTGAACAGAACTGAAAATTAATGATCTTTCCTCTTCTGTGTCAGTTTGTCATATACTTTAATCAATGCTGCAGGAAGTCTCTGCAAGAGACTTCCTACAAGCCCAGGTATGTTTTCAAGTGATTTCAGTCTTTGGTCTAAATGTAGATTACTGTACATAATATGGAAAGAAGATAATAGTAAGTAGCAAAAGAAAAAAACCCAAACCATAGCTAAATCAGTAGATGAGTGACCTACTTTTAAAAACAGTAGAGAAGACAACATATTCCTATTTTAAAAACAAAGCATTAGATTGTACAGTTGACATGAAAGTATTCTACTGAGTCTCAGTTTAAGGATTAAGCATTAAGAGATGTATCTTCCCCTTGATGCTCTTTAGTACTAATCTCTTAAGACTTAACATTTTCTGTGCTTACAGATGGGTCTTCCTTCTATCCATAGCAGCATACTTATCCTCTTTCCCGATTATTATGAGCCTAGTTACAGTCTAGTGCTGTTTCATGTAACATGGATTTGTGTATCTACAGTTATTCCAGTATTGCTTAGAAGATATACTAACATAAATTTTGTCCAAAGCTGAGGGCGTTTGAAGGTTCCCAGATGATCCATTTAAGCAGAACTTCATTCTTTTCTTCCTTGATCTTTGCACAGACAAAGCTCCTAGTTAAGCTAGAGAGTTGTTCATTTCTGCCTCCAAGATTTATGAACTGGAGGCATACTTCAGGCTGTGTTGTTAGATGTTGATTTAAACTATTATAGCCACATCTGTAATTCCTACTGCATTAAGTCTTTTAGCTTTGATAATGGCAGTCTCCATATAAGATTCTTCCTTTCCTTTCCTCTCCACATTTTTATGAAGGACAAAACATTTGAAAGCTCTTAGGAGCTACTTAATGCAATTGAAAATTTATGTATTTCATTTCCCGACCAACAAAGGCTAAATTGAGCAGCTGTCTTTCTTTTTTCTCATCTTTATTTCTCCTTGCCAATCTGTTCCTCAGAAAAATTACTGATTTGTTACTTGATGTGTATTTCATCTTGCACTACTTGCAGCTAATGATCCTTGCCCATCAGGTAGAAATCACTCAGCCTAATAGAAATGGAGAGTGAACTAAAGTAGACATTTGACCTTATCAGGAAATTATTCACTTCTAGAATATCTAAACAAAGGTGAAAAATGGTGTTTTGAATAGTGAAGGCTGTGAGAGATGGCATCCTGCTGGACTACAGAGACAAGGTTCCATACAGGCTCTTCCTTAAGTCTAATAATTTACCAAAAAAAAAGAAAAAAGAAGAAGACTTATGTCCTGTATTCTAAGATATAGTCTTGCCTCTGTAAATCACAGCACTTCAGAAGACATAATATTGATTTAGCTCTATAACAAAGTAGTTGAGTTGCATGAGAAGGTAACCTCAGAGAATGTGCAGTGCTGTAAGATTCTGTGTGGTCACATGCAAGATCATGCATGCACRTGTGCTTGCCTTTACTAACCATATGCATACATTCAGGCCTGGCCTTTTAAAATTCTTCCCATCCTCTGTGATATATTATGGTCTACCAAAGTAAGTTAACTGAAGGTCATGACAGTCCTATAACTTAAAGTGCCAGGACCACATAACACACTCAGAAGCATATGGATGAGGACAGGCAGACAGAGTAGCAGGGTCTGTACTTTCTTGGTAAGAATGAGAGTTGGATTATGGAGAATCTGTAGGTACAGTATTGTGTATTTATGTCTGTGCTTGGATTATATTGTAAAATGTTATGTACTTGAAATCTATTTTGTGGTTTGTCAAATATTTATAAACACAACTCTGGGAAGAATTAAAAATTGTTTTATTTCATTGGAGACTGGGGGAAAATATACCTGTAACTCGAGCCTTATCTTTGTACAGTGAATTTCACATTTCTATGTCAACATCCTGATTGTTTTCTATGTTGATATGATGGCAGGAAACCCTAATAAAAATAAAGTGGAGCAAAGCATTCTGCAATTATGATACTTCTTATGGTTAATGGTATTTTGTGGACTTGTTTTTCCTAGAATACATTTTAGAATAGAACGCATTATAGAATAATAATGGAATACATTAGCTGGCACATGAAGTAGCACTGATTTSCTACAACTCTTACACATTTTATCCTGACATATATTCTTTTTTTCATAATCTATAGAGACACTAACAAAGTACCACTCTTTCACATGATTTTAGTATGGTTTCTGATGCATTAACCAATAYGGAACCAATACACAATGGGAACATCATTTTGGTGTCAGTAATTCAGAGAAACTGAGGCAACATCTCAAGCATACAAAACATAAAGATGCTCCTTTTCCCAAGGGATGAGGCATTTAGCCAGCAGGACTGATGGGAGAGCACTCCAGAGCAGTGCTACCAGACAGCAGTGCGCTGTGGCAAGATTGCCTGTACCTGCATGGTGCGCAGACCTGGAGTTGGTGACAGGCAAGGGAGCAGAGGGGGCTGATGGTGACRGAGCTCTTTGTGCCTGCCATGTGCGCAGGCAAAACTGAGGATCTCAGGGTCACCTAACTGTGCTCCTTTTTGGGTCCTTGCAGAGACCATCAGCTCCTTGTGTCCTGTAAGTGTCACTAGGATTTATGCTCTGACAAGGTTGCATCTTGGCTTTTGAACCCCTTGAAACAAGCTGCTTATGTTGACTTTTTGTTCTCTTGCCTTGCAAGTCACTGCCAAGACCCTGAGGATGCTGATTTTGGCAGAGGGAAGCTGAGGCTCCCTTTCCACCAGCCCTTACTAGATGTTCAGCATGAGATATCCAAGCAGAGTGGCAGCAGCTTTGTGGAGGGTTTAGAGGAGCCTCATGGGGTGCAGTGCCAGGGAGTCGCCTGTCTGGCCATAGCCTTTGCCATAAGCACTACTGTGAGGCAGAGTCCTTGCCAAACCAAGGTGTCTATCTCTTGAGCAAGTTCTGAAGATATCTAGATTATTCTGAGCCCTCTCCCACATCATGGCCTTGCTGAAGCAGCTTCCTTATGGCCCTTTCTGCTGAGCGAGGCCTCTGTAACCTGAACAGCTTTCTTGCAGGCTGAGGCCAAGCAATATCCCATTTCAGTCCCACCTGGCAGTGAAGAGGGACATTGACAATTGATGAGTTTGCACAAGAAATTTCCTTCTACCACAGAAGATACTTGGTATGCTCTCAATGTCCTTTTGTGTGCTTGCCTAATGGCAGTTTGCCAAGAACTGTTTTGTCTTAAGGGTGAGCTGAAAGCTCCTAGTCTAGACTCTACAATTTCTAATACTTGCTGTGCAAAATGTCCTTTCAAGAGCCGTTTACCCTAAAGTGCTGTAGGCATCACTAAGACCTGAGAGATACCTCTCTCATCAGAGAGCCTACTCTGTAACCTGGTGTCTGTTTTCAATTGGGCTGTTTTCAAAGAGGCAAGAGTGACCCTATGAGCAGAGTCAACAGCATTACTCTAGCCAGTGAGCTATGAGGTGTTGCAGCACTACTGACTTCACAGTTGCAACCTACAACTCTGGCCAGCTGGTGGCCTATCAACCCTTGAGTCAATGGTGATCTTGCAAGCACATCCTAGAGCCATAGAAAAGAGGACCTATCTTCTCAATCACTAAGGCAAGTGAGAGTGACCAAGCAGAGCTAACAGAAATTGGGAGCTTCAGAGAGCGGTGGCTTGTCTATTGCTGCTGGTTGTGCTTGTGAGATCACCACTGCTTAAGTACTTGATAGGCCACTGCCTTCCCAATGTCTGCAGGCTTTGCTTTTGAGGTCAGTATTGCCTCTTCTTGACCTGACAATTTTATTCAGTGATTCAGGCTRTGCTTGTGAGGTCCCTATAGACTCAGAGCYTCACAGGTYAGTTGTGGACCCATGGCTTGAGGGTTTATGAGTTCGTATTGCCTCCGCATATGATACGTCAGGTTTGAGATATTTATGCTGTCTGTGCTTGTGGGCTGAGTGTTGCCCCAAAGCAGACCAGACCAGTGTGTTGCTATGCCTGCAGGCTGTACTTGTGAATTCATGCTTGGCTCAGGAGTTGCTAGTGGAGGAGCAGGCCATGGTTGTAGGTTGTGCTTGTGATCTCAGTATTGCCTCAACACCTTCTAGGTCAATGGGTAGACTACTGCTTTTTGTGTGCTTGTCAGGTCACTGTTGCTTCTTAAAGACTGGCGAATGGTAGTCAGTGGTTCAGGCTATGCTTGTGAGGTCCCTGTTGACTCAGAGCCTCATAGATCAGTGGCAGGGCTATGGTTTCAGGCTATATTGGTGAGTTCGTATTGGCTCCACGCCTGATGTATACATGGCGGACATATTGCTGCTGATGCTTACTACATCAGTGTTGCCTCAGAGTACACTAGGCCAGTGTGTTGGCTATGCCTGCAGGGGGTGCCTGTGAAGCTGCTATTCCCTCGAAGTCTGGGAGGCCTGTGCAGTGTCTGATGGCTGTGCTTGTGAGGTTACTCTTGCTTTCTGTTTGAGACGCCRGTGTGTTGATTATGGCAACAGGCTATGCTTCTTAGATCACTGTTGTCTCAGTAGTTAGTGTAGGGGCAGGCCATGGTGTGTATTGAGCTTGTGATGTCATTATTGCCTGAACACCTCCTAGGTCACTTGTTGAAGCTCTGCTCTTGAGTGTGCTTGGGAGATCTCTATACCCTCTTCTAGACAGGCCAATGGTAGTGAATGTCTACAGCTCTGCTTGTGAGGTCCTTATTGGTTCAAAGCCTGATAGATCATCAGCAGGTGGATGGCTTGAGACTGAGGCATTGGGGTATCAGGGGCTAAGGCAATACAGACTCACAAGTACAGCCTTAAATTATTAGTTTCTCTGTTTGGAAAGAAACAGATTGTTTTATCTAATTACTTTAATAATATGCGGAGAATACTGTTAGTGTGGGACACACTGTTATTATTAACACACATGTTAGTTCTCTCTTTTTCTAACTTCTGGTGCTGTTAATCACCAGATTTCAGATGCACACTGCTGCCACAATAACCATGGTGATAAAGAACAAGAGCACCTTTTCTATTTTTCTGTCCACTTGTTTGCTGCCTTCGCTGATTCTCTTAGACTCTTCTTATGCAAAGGTGAAACCAAAGCTTCATCAGATCATTGTTCACACTTTCGAATGTTGCTGTACCCTTTTCAAATCATTCCTCCTCTTTGTGAAAAATGGAAGCAAATAACTATCAACTCTTTATTTCAGATTTATTTCAGTTGAAGTCTTGTCAGGTTCTTTTACTCGGAAAGGATGTAACTTTGGAAAAACTTTAAGAGATAGTAAGTAGCTTACTGAAGTAATACTGAACAGATGTTTATCAACTGCTGTTCACAAACAGACATTATGTTTTGGATTCTGTCTGTCTAGTGTTTCACACCACTAAAAGTAAAAAAAGTTTTGTTTAGGCAGTTCCCTAAGAAGTCCTTGTTCTCCATTCTGTAGTCAGTATTTTTATCTTTAGCTTTTCTTGTCACATACCTGCATACACTGATAGCATGTCTTTATTCCTCACAAGTGGACTTTCCCCTTTCCAAATTCTACGTACTTCCTTCTTCTGTTTGAATTTTGCCAGGAGCTCATCCATGGAATTTGTTCGCTCCTTTTGCCAGACTTCTTACTCGTAGGCACCAATCTTGAGATATCCAACAGATATCCAGCAGATATCAGAGTGGCTGATTTCCCCCAGAAGAACCAAAGTCTGAGGCGCCGTCCAGGTGACTGCAGAAGGCCTCATTGACTTTTTTTCCTGATTGGTTGTCCTGTAGTAAACACACAGGACAGAGCCTCCTCTGTTATCTTGCTCTTTAATCCTTACCCATAAGCTCTTTATTTGTTCTTCATCCATGCCTAGGCAGGCCTTGATACATTCCAATTGCTCTCTGAAAAGGTTGCTCCATGAAAGTATTGCAGTCATGTGAGCTCTCACACTACATATCTGTAATTCCATTGATATCATGGCCCTGTGACTTCACAAAAGTTTCTATCTTATCCCCCATGCTGTGTACAGGCATTTCAGGGAGGTAATGGAACACGCAGGTTTACCAGGAGGGACACAAGACAGCCCTCCATAGTTGTGTCACATTTTCTTGTCCCACCTCCATAACTTGCTGCAGCTTTGACTTCAGCTCCTGTGGCTTCACCTCCACTTTTACTCAGTACAGTGGAGATGGCTTCGTTCCTCAAGCCTCATAAACCAACTCTGCTAGCTTCAAACTTTCTCTCTGCAGCTTCCTTACCTCTGTTAGCTTGTGTATAACTTAAGATAGTTAGAGCCTTGCTTTGGCTTAAGAGAATGTTGTGGCTGATTGATCTTCACAAAACTTTCTAACCAACAATCAAAGCTGTTTTGCTTCTTATCATTTGGGTGTTCACTGGAGTAGCATTTTTTAATTTCCTTCAAGAACTTTTCCTTTGCATTCACAGCCTGTCTGTGTGGCGGAAGATACCTAGCTCTTTCACAACTTTACAGGAACTTACTTAACAAATTTCTAACATGTTCCAATTACTGTGTTAAATATATTACCTGCATTCAAAAAAAATAAAAAAAGGGGGGGGAGGGAAAGTATGAACACAGACACAGTAAAAGCTGCAAGGGCTGAAGATAGTACAATTTATGTAAAGCGAAACAGCTTTCAACTGAATTCATATTTTTTAAAGAAGCCAAACCAAGGTATGGCTGTTTATTTTATTTTTACTACCTGAATAAGAATTCAGCTTGAGCAATATTTGGTCAATATAAAGAAAGAGCCTTATCTTTTCTGCTTGTGGAAAGTAGAAGTATGTATTTCATCACTGAACACATACTTGTAAAGCTGCAGTGCTCATAAATTTGGTTTAAGACTGTCCTCTTCTGGCACTTCTGAGTAATCTCTCAGAAGTTT